CCCCAAAACCCCAAAACCCCAAAACCCCAAAACCCCAAAACCCCAAAACCCCATTCCTCTTGCTTATAAAAATAATATAAATTTAAATTTTTATTTAAGAAATGCATCCCGGAGCCGACAACAAAAACTCCTGAGTGGTCACGCTTGACGAGCTGCAGCGCATCAAAGACAGCTGCTCCATGATGAGCGCCACCCAGAACAGCATGAGGAAGACGAACGCCAGGGTGACTCTGCATGACAAGTCGCAGCAGAGAGTGAAGAACTGGCCGAACACAATCCAGGCTCTGCGCAAGAAGAAGGACGAAGACAGGATCAAACGCCTCGAAGAAGAAGAAATCCAGAGGAGGAAAATCGAAGCCGAAGAAGAAGCTCTGCAGATGGACCTCAAGAACCAGACCATCGAGGCTGCCAACAAAGCCATCTATGAGTCCCAGGACCGAGTGAAGGCGTTTAAGTCGAAGATGATGGTCTGTGACATGACGGAGGAGAGGAAGCAGCAGGACAAACTCCGCAGGAAGAAGCAGAAAATGGAACAGCAAATCAACCAGCAGTGGGAAGACCTTGAGAAGCAACAGTTGGCAGAGCAGGATGAGAAGATTAAAGCTGATCTTGAAAAAGAATATAAAAAGAAAATGAGAAATGCATCAGATATTAATAAACAGATGGAAGATTTCAAAATGAATTATATCAAACAACTTCAGGAAGAAATGCTCGAAGGAGAACTTCTCAAAAAGCAAGTTGAAGATGACATTGAAAATGAGAGACAAAAGGAACTTCAAAGAATAAAAAGAAGCAAAGAGCTTCAAGAGGAACAAAGAAGAGCTAACGAATATATTAAAGAAGTTGGCGAACAAAACAGACAAAAAGAATTAGCTGAGGAGAAAAAGATTGAAGAATTTGCAAAGAAAAAGGAAAGACTTGACCAATTAAGAAAAGACAAGGAAGAACAAAAATTTAAAGAAAAACAGGCCGAAAGACAAAGATTAATCGACAGACAAATAGAATACTTACAAAATAAGGTAAATAATGAAGATAGAATCCTTAATAAACAAGTTAACGAGGCTGAAGAGAAAGCAGCCAGGCAATATGAAGAACAAGAACAACGTAAACAAGCAATGAAGGATGCGATCGAAAGGTCCAGACAGCAACAAATTACAAGGAAAAAGGCAGAAAAAGATGCAGAGAAAAGAGAAGAAGAAGAATTCAAAGATTACTGGAAGGTCAGAAACACAGAGCTTCAAGAAGCAGAAGCTATGGAGAAGGAAGAGGAAAGACTTCGTAACCAAGAGCTTGCAAATTATCTCAAGACTCAGTCTGATATTAAAGCTAGAATAGCAGAGGATGAGTTTAAAAAGGAACAAAGAGCTGCAACAAAAGCACAAGCTTTGCTTGATCAACAAGAGAAGCATTTCTACTCTTATGCTGAAAAGGCTATTGCTGACTGGAAAGCTGAGGGTAAAAATGTGACTCCTCTGATTCTCGAATTAAAATCCCAGGCTAAGCAGAGCCATACCTTAGGATAATCCCAAGCCTATAGAGATGCCTATATAACGAATCCCAATTATTTTCAATTATGAATTTAAAAAGGGGTTTTGGGGTTTTGGGGTTTTGGGGTTTTGGGGTTTTGGGGTTTTGGGG